TTTAATCTAGCTTGCGCTCACTATTGTACATGAAAGCAGATCCGGGTGGATGACGTAGGACGTCGGCGTTGCGCATCGGTCGCTCAGAAGTGACAAACGCGGAAGTGCAGGGGAGAGATCAAAACAAAACAACGGTCACGAATTAGAAGTACAAAACGAGGATTTGTAAAGAAGAATGTCGGAGGATTTCGATATAAGCCAAGAGGAGACTGGTTTTTCTTTGCTAAAGTAAGGAAACTTTGCTTCCTTTGATCCTGTAAACAAACTTTGGTTTTCACGAGACTCACCGGCACATGCTGACCTCATACGTCATGTTCCCGGAACTGCTTCCGTGTAGGACTGTTGGCGCAAGCTACATTAAAGTGATTATTACGTTTTGAATATGGATATTTTTCTTACAAAAATGCATCAATTCGCTACAGGAGGCCTTTGTTCACCCCCCGGAGCCATGTGAGGCACTTTTTTATTATGGATGGATGTGCTTTATTTCACTTCTTTTGGACTGATGAACTGCAACACCAGCTGACTGCCATTAAACAGCTTGAAAGATCAAAGACAATTTTTTATATAACTCAGATTGGATTCCTCTGAAAGAAGGAAGTCATATACGCCAAGGATGGCTTGAGGGTGAGTAAATAATGGGCTCATTTTCATTTTTGGGTGAACTATCCCTTTAATATATACAGATTTATTCAGTAATATGTAATATATTTTCAAATGGATTATGAAAACTTAAATATGAAGAGCTCTAAAAGATTTTTTACAGATGTAAAAAAAAAAACATCTGTTAATGTTAAATCCACAAATAAAATGTTAAGGTTTCAACTGCATCTGTCAGAAAAAAAACACAGCAGAGCTTTCAATGTACTCTCATTAAAAAAAATAATAATAAAGTTTATTACTTCTAACAAATAAGTTTTGGCTCAAAACTAAACAAAATTTGTTTATAGTTTCCGCGCAGGAGAGACTTGGTGTTGTTTCAAAACAAAGGGAAATATATATCGGTATCAGTAATCGGCCAAAATGATTTTAAAAAATACCGGCATATCTGATATCGGCAAAAATCTAATATTGTGCATCCCTAAAGTTAACAGTAAGCAGCCCAACCAAAATACTAAACAAAGGCTACAATTAAGCCATGATGTTTAATCAAAAGCAATTTGAAGACAGATTTTGCACCAAACTTGACTGTGGGTGGAGCTATAGATCACAACATTACAAAAACATGAACGAAGCATTGCTTGCTACAGTGGTGGCTGGTTAGGAACAAATTTCAGATTAACATGAGAGAGATGGTTAGAATATGGTGTAATACACTGCCTTTAATATAAATCAATCTTGATGCATTTAGATACTTGTAACTTATGCATCGTGCTGAATTTGAGTGCAGTGAATAAAACAAACTGTTCTTTCAGTGTTTATGGATAAAACAAAAGAGTGTACAATAAACAGAGGATGACAATGGATTACAATGTTGAATGCAAACAAAACTAATGAGGGAATGAGGGTGCTGACCATCACTTCCTGCTCGAAGCGCCTGAAGAGCTGCTCTTTCTGCTGCTGCAGTTTATTGCTGAGCTGCTGTTGAGCTCTTTGCTCCTCTTTTTGCAGCAGCCTCAGTTCTCGTAACTCCTGACGCCTACAGAATAACAAACGTCACACTTTTTCTGACAATCTAAAATATGATTTATGCATTATCAGATACATTATCATTTGCCTATTGCAAAATAACTAGAAACAGTAACTGATTACTAGTGAGGTATATAAATCAGTTTATATACCTCAAAAATCTCAGTTCCTCACTCATGGTGTCATTGTCGGTGACAATCTTGGATGTGGTGACACTGACTTCCACCCCGTCGACCATAAACTTGCGGGTCTTTTTCAGTGTTTTCTTTTGGCGCTTGGTATCCTGTGGGATTGAATAAAGTTTAATGAAGATATTTTCTTCCAGGACCTTGATTTCAAGCACATCTGGGCAGAGTTATATGTACCTGTATTGAAACAGATCCTTCTTTGCTTTTGGAGAGGAAGCTGGAGATTGACAGATTAATGTCAATGCTGTTAGTATCTGCAGCAGAACTGCTGCCTGAGTCAGAGTCTTTCTCCTTTTCAACATCAGGTTTCGCTACCTCTGCATTCTGGTCATTCTCAGGCACGGTAGGTGCTTCCTGGATCTCTAGTCTAACTTCATGGGCTTCTTGAGTTTCTTCTGTTGCGCTGACCTCCTCTTCTTTTACACCACTGATGACAACAACAGGGAATTCATTCATGGAGTTGCCCTCTACTACATCTACCCCCTTGGTTGCAAGATCATCTTTGGGTTCTGAACTCTCACCCTTTTCTCCAGCTTTTTCTTGGTCCTCTGTTGCCACTGGAGGAAGATCCTCCTTTACCTCTTCTGTAGAAACATCTGGTGAAATTTCAGTTTGCTCCTCCTTTAACTCTTCTGTTGGGGCATGTGGTGAGGGTACTGTTCTCTCATCTTCTGCTAGTTCCTTTTTATTCCTTTCTTCCTCTGTCTCAATTTTGTCTTCAGTTTTTTCTGTAACCTCAATTAGTTCAGTGATAGCTTCTTCAGTAACACCATCAGATTTGTTCTCTGGTTCAGCTATATCTGAAGGCAGGGAAGGTTCCTCTTCTTCATCTGTGGTGGTTTGTGTTTTGGCTTCTTGCAGTGTTTCTTTACACTCTTCTTTTTTCTTCTCTGGTGGCTCTTCCACCTTCACTTCCTTCTTTTCTTCCTCCCCAGTTTCCTCACTGACGATTACAATCTCTTGGAGGACAGTGTCATTTAATACTGAAGGATTTGGCTGATCAGAAATCTCTACTTCTGTGGTCACAGGTGTTTGAGATTCTTCGTGTTTTGGAATAGCCTCCTCACCAGAACGTGATTCCTCAGTGCTGGTGTCTGATGGACTGGCCTCATTTACCTTCTCATCCTTAGCATGGTTGGGTTCGCTGGCGTCCACCACGTCAGAGGTCTTATCACTAGCTTGATCCTCTGAACTGGGCTTTCTTTCAGGTTCAGGCTTCTCTGTGACCGACTCAAGAGTTGGCGTGTTCTGATACTGCCTCTCATCCTCTGAGCTGCCAACGCTGGTGTCCGATAATGCACGTTTGTGTCCAGGCACCACCTACATTTACAAAATAGACAGTGACTGCAGCAACAAAATACTGTGCTGTGCCTGCAGATAATCAAAGAATTCTGCATGGAAACAACGGCACCATATTATCATGACAATTTCAAATTCTCTGAATGGGTTTCTACATTCTTAAGTGGTTGTGTTCATACCGGCTGGGACTCTGGCTCTTCTTCCTCCTCTTCCTCTTTGCCCTCGTCAAACTCCTCAAACACTTCGGCTTTAGCCTCAGCAATCAGCTCTCGCAGTGGTTTGTTATCCATCACATTTGAAACAAATGGATGCTGAAAGCAGACCATGGCTGATCACTATCTTGTACATTTTAATTTCAACCTTTAAACTGAACTGCATCAAGAAATACAAGATGGCCCAACCTGTAAGAGCTGCAATGAACTCCACCTGTTGTCTACATGTTTATCCAGTGCTTTCCGCAGGAAATCACTGAACTCAGGAGACCTGTTTAAATCAGCGGATGAACAAATATGAACTCTGTGCTACATGTGAAAGGGCTCTTCATTTGGGGTATTACATTCAAAACTATTAAGCAACAGGCTATGCAGTTCCAGGCTGAACATGTGTTGGGACTCTGGGTGGGTGACTGCTTATATGATTCATCAGCTCAATAGCCTCCAGCCTGGATTTTTCATTTGGGAGGTGATTTATCATATTAGTCAACATTTTTCAAAATATGACCCTTTAACTGAACTCACTGAAAAATTCTGTCCTTAGAAACAATCAATATAGTTTATATTGTTAATCACATTTTGCTTCATTATTGACACGTGGAAGATCATGGCGCTGTGAGTCATAACTCTCACCATCGTGATGGAGTTGCAAGTGTGGGGGGCTCAGACTTTGCTATTTTTAGCAGGACTCTCATTGGGTTCATCTCGTGGTTAGGCGGCTCAATCTGTGCCAGCTCGATCAGAGTCACCCCCAGGGACCAGATGTCCGCTTTGTAGTCGTACGGTCTGTCCTTTGACGTCTCACACATCACCACCTCGGGTGCCATCCTTACATTTAAGAGAGAAAGGGAGGGAGGATATTTTGGAAAACGTCTCAGTTACGTATGTAACCCTCGTTCCCTGAAGGAGGGAACGGAGATGTCACCTTGGTGACCGACGAATTGGGGATCTCGCTTTGAGAGACCAATCTACTTCGAGTGTAACTAAACAAGCCAATGCACATTGGCATGCAATTATTGCATCCAGCTGCCGCTGATCACAGTGTGAGCATAAAAAGGCAGCCGGTGCAATGCATACCAGGTTTTCGCTGAGGAGCCGACTTGAGGATGCGAACACCCTGCTCTCTGAGGAGAACAAGAGCCCCCTCCTTGACTTTCATGAAGACACGGGGAGACAGGGACAGCCCGAAGGGCAGGAACTTGTACTGGAATGCACGTCCCTCGAACGCGAACTGCAGAAATTATCTGTGGAGCGGAAGGATCGACACATGAAAGTACGCGTCCTTCAGGTTGATCGCTGCAAACCAATCTAGGAGACTGATGCACCCAAAGGTGCATTTCTCGTTCAACATCTTGAACGGTAACCGGTGCAGGGCCCAGTTCAAGACACGCAGGTCCAAGATTGGCCGTAACCCACCGCCTTTCTTGGGTACAATGAAGTAGGGGCTGTAAAACCCCGTACTCATATCGGCTGGAGGGACCCGCTCCATCGCATCCTTCGCCAGTAAGACTGCGATCTCCGCATGCAAGACAGGAGCATCGGCCGCCTTCACTGTCGGGAAGCGGATGCCACTGAACCTAGGGAGACGCCGGGCAAACTGAATCGCATAGCCGAGGCTGATGGTCCACAGAAGCCAGCAAGACGGGCTGGGTAGCGCTAGCCAGGCACCCAGATACCATTCAAGTGGGACCAACGGAACCACCGCTGTACCCGCGGGCAGCGAGGTGAAACGCAGGGACCCAACTCGGACGGCTTGTGAGCAGACCGAAGAGGGGTCTGAGTGTGCGATAAAGCACTTACCTGGTTCCACAGTTTGGAAGAGGGTGCGTGAGTAGGGCCTTTGTTGATGCTCTCGAACCGCCCACTGCTGCCTGCTGGCGACAGAAGATGTGTGTGGTCCGTGGTTGAACCGTCCGGCGGGGAAAAACAAAACAAAAGATTTTCCACCCGGCCCTCCTCCGGGGGAGGGAGTGGTGCGTTCGCCATCTCCCAAAGAGCAGATCCTTCCATTTCACCCTCGGCGAAAAGCATGCTGGGGCGCTGCGGCCGGCGGGCGGATGGAGGCAGCAGCTGCCCGCCGGGGCAGGATGTGTCGAATCGCCTCAGTCTGCTTTCTGTTCAGCCGAGAACTGCTGGGCAAAGCTCTCGACCGCGTCGCCGAAGAGGCCGGTCTGGGACACAGGGAAAGAGCAGATCCTTCCATTTCACCCTCGGCGAAAAGCATGCTGGGGCGCTGCGGCCGGCGGGCGGATGGAGGCAGCAGCTGCCCGCCGGGGCAGGATGTGTCGAATCGCCTCAGTCTGCTTTCTGTTCAGCCGAGAACTGCTGGGCAAAGCTCTCGACCGCGTCGCCGAAGAGGCCGGTCTGGGACACAGGGGCATTAAGGAACCTAACCTTGTCGGCTTCCCTCATGTCGGCCAGACACAGCCAGAGATGGCGCTCCTGGACCACAAGCGTGGACATCGCACGACTCAGAGAACCCGCGGTGACCTTCGTCGCTCAGAGCGCAAGGTCAGTGGCAGTTCGGAGCTCTTTCAGAACTTCCGGATCGTGACCACCCTCGTGCAGGTCTTTCAGTTCATTGGCCTGCTGCACCTGCAGTAACGCCATAGAGTGTAAGGCGGAAACAGTTTCCTGCAAGCCATATAAGCACCGCCGGTCAGACCAGACGAATGCCTACAGGCCCGGGAAGGGAGCAACGGGTCTCCCCGCCAGGAGGAGGCGGTCTTAGGACACAACTGCATCTACCGACCACTCCACCAGGGGGGATCGCCGAATACCCATTTGCTGCACCACCGTCGAGGGTGGTGAGGGAGGAGGAGCTAGAAGGCCGGATTCCATTTGAGCCCTACCCTTTCGGCAGTCCGGGAAAGCATAGCAGACATCTCTGGATCCGATTCAGGCATTGCCACTGTCCCGGAGGGTGGAAGTGCAGCCGAATCTACCTCTCCAGAGAGCTCTCCCTCCGATGCAGCGATCGACATCCGGTCATCGGGAGGAGCCCCGAGGGATACCGCTGGTACACTCTTTAAAGAGGGCCCAGTGCGTTCCTTCGGCGGCTCGGCTGGTTGCGGAGCACTGGAGGAGTGGTGGGCCCCCAAGGGTTGGTTCCCTGAGGGGTTTGCCACCACTGTAACCCTCAGACCGCCCGTGCTACTGCTGAAAGTAGTCTTTGTCTGGCCGCTGCCAGAACGAGCACTAGATCACGGCAGAGGCAACGGAACTCTGCCCCCCTGAAGGTAGCGACGCCTGGTCCGCAGCTCCGAGATGGTCTTCTTTCCGCAATGGGAACATGACTCATCCACGAACGCCACCTCAGCGTGCTTCATGCCCAGACACGAGGCAGCAATCGTGACCATCACCCAGTGCCAGGTAACGACCGCACCCAGAAACGCACGAGTGAAACAGCATCTTTAAAAAGACGATCCATTGTCTTTACAAAGACACACCCGTGGAGCTCTTTTAGAGAAATTGCTCTTTCAGGGAAATGCTCTTTTAGTGCTGAGGCGCACAGGGGAAATGGCCGCTTGCAGCACAACAGGGGGTAGTGCAGCCTGAAGTGCGCAACCCACTCAACACAGGAACAACCACCGCGCTGAAGCGCTGTCCGCCAACACCAGAAGCTTCCAAGAGCGCGTTGAACTCGTAGCTCACTGAAGACGCTTGGAAGGAGCAGAACGATGTTGTCGCTCGGCTCCAAAGTGAAAAGCTGGTATGCATTGCACCGGCTACCTTTTTATGCTCACGCTGTGATCAGCGGCAGCTGGATGCAATAATTGCATGCCAATGTGCATTGGCTCGTTTAGTTACACTCGAAGTAGATTGGTCTCTCGAAGCGAGATCCCCAATTCGTCAGTCACCGACGTGACTCGGAGTGACCGACTGAAAGGGAATTGAGAATAAAGAAGCTTATTACGTGCCATATTCACAGCTCTGTTCTTACGTAGTGACAGATCTCATGATTCAATGCAAGACTTGATAAATTGAGTGACTAACCAGTATGGTGTTCCAATGAAAGAGTCTCTTCTCTGAAGGGTCTTTGTATTCTTTGCAGACACTCCAAAGTCAGCTGAGAAGAAACATTGATCAAAATTAGACACACAGTATGGCTGACAACAATATGCAAAAAAGAGACACGATTTTTAATCAATAAGTAAACTTAAAAGCTAAAATAAACACATTTCAGTTTTCTTGCATACGTAGCCTACATATTAACTGCTGAAGACACATTTCTGATACTTTTTACCAAAGGACTTTTCCATGACCTTTCCAGATTTTTAAGGTTACTGGATAAGATTTAAAAAAAAAAAAAATTACAGAGAATATTTGAAAAAGAAAGTGAAAAAGAAAACTGGAAAAATTAATCAATAAATCAAAACTAAATAAATAGAAATGATAACACATATATACATGAATTACTTGAAAATATATATACACATCACATTGTTAAATAAATAATTAATCATTTAAAATAAACAGTTTTTAGGCAAACTTTATGAGGCTATTACCCAATTTGACATCTCCATCTGAGGTAAAGAGAATATTTCCAGCTTTCAGGTCCCGGTGTATAATCTTAATCTCATGGAGATAAGCCAGCGCTTCCAGTGTATGTTTACACACAACTCTGATCTGAGGCTCTGTCAATGGCCGCTCCAGCTCTGCAGACACACACACACACACACACAAAATGGCTGTAAACAGAGTCACCGCTAAGCAAGCACATTTTATCAGCTCTTTTTATTTGCAGTGATGTGTATTTAAGTTAAAGCAGACAAATAAACTACAATGTAACAGTGACAAAGAGCTATGGCTCATATTAATAGCCATATTCTCTGTTGTTGTTTTTGGCTAGGTAGAGCATACTGCTCCCTTGTGACTGAAGCAATGCGAATAGGTCTTTATTATAGCAGCGCTGCTGGGATAGGCCCTCACAGAACAGTCAGAAGGCAACAGAGGGAGTCATAACAGCACAAACAATGAGTCAACAAAAGCATTTCCATCATAAGAACACCTCCAACAGCAACACTTCTCTTATAGGCTAAATGTAGAAGAGGCCAGATTTTCATTACAGCAGACTAAACCGTAATAAGAAAGAGAGGTTTTATTCTTACAGGACATTGTTTACAATTGTGAAATGGTTTTTCCATCAACTAAGGTGATGAGGTTTTGTGATTGGAAACAGTTTTTGTAAATAGTACAGATGACACTGTACAAAAAGAGGGGAAATGGGACCATTTGTTAGGCATTTATGCATTGTTTTTGGCTGAATTAATACTGCTGTGAGCCATGAAAAACTTGTAAAGTCTACTTATGAATTTGCTGACATGGCATGTCACTGAAAAGATCTGATGCGTGTGGGGACATTTCAACAACACTTCCAACCAACACAGAAAAAGTCGATTTAAAAAGAGCCTAACCACTCCTTGAAATCTGACTTTGATAATTATATGGTCCAGTCCAGTGGCAAAAATGAGCACAGCGTGGTGGTGTGCCAGTGAGGTCTGGAGCAATGGAACATCATCGCACAGTAGAACAGACTTAAGACGACCACAGTGCCTTCTATTTCCTTCAATTAAACAAAGACCATAAAACTTACCCAACATCACAGCGTCCACTGCTCCTCCAGCACAAAACTCAATAAGAATCTAAAGAAGGGGTGAAAGAAAGAGATCCAGAAGATGAATGAACTAAGAATGACACCGATGCCACAGTGTGCAATGTAGAGTTTACTTTGATTACAAGCATATGATTGGTTTGGTTGGGTGGGTGTTTATCCCTCTCGGTTGAAATCACGTTCTGGGTGCACAAAGACCAGACCGAAAGGGGACTTCAGCGTCGGCGATTAAAGGGGCAGGGGCACAAGCCCCTGGCTCTCCCTGTGCACATGTACCGCTGTATATTTTTAAATTCCTCCTCGTTTTGTTGTTGCTTCAACATGTACATAACTTAAAGGTGGGGTAAGCGATTTCTGGTAGCCAATGTTGACATTTGAAATCATCAAAACAAACACTCCCCTACCCCAAAAGGGTCTCGCCCCTATTTTGATAGCTCTGCCCCACACATATGTACGCAACCCAGGCAACGATTAGTTCTGTGAAACAAAGCAAAACCAATGTTACACTGTGTCTACACCAGACGCGAGTGGCGCAGCGCGACAAAATACTATAGAACTCATTATAATCAGTGATGCTGTCTACACTGGATGCGACGCGGCGCGACACGACAAATTCCAGACAGAAAACTGCTGCTGCGTTCTATTCATGACGTATTGACAGTGCACTGGACGCTCTCTCCTCCACATCATAACTACACACGCCCCTTACTGCTGATTGGCTACAAGTTTGTTTTGCTAGTCGCCCCTGTTCAGTTTTCTAAAGCGTTTTTGAAAAATTGCTTACCCCACCTTTAAGATGTCCTATACATTAAAGGGGTCATATGATGCTGCTAAAAAGAACATTATTTGGTGTAATGAAATGTGTTTATGCTCTAGGCATGATGAAGCGATATCATCCTCTTTTGGAAGGCCAAACAAAGTAGTTTCGCTTTCACAACGAAGCACACAGCGCCTTCACGACATGGCGGCGGCGGCAGCAATACAACAGCGAGAATAAAAGTTACGCCTTCTTTCTTTGCGTGAACATTTGGGCGGCGTTATGCAAATCTTCCCAGATAGTGACGTAGGT